AGGCCTGCCATAATATAGTACGGTTCTGCTCTATGCATCACAGTGCATCTCCCTCCAGCTTTGAGATTTTTGATGTTTTTTAAGATATGAATAAAATTATTGGTTATTTTCGCCAACAGTAGTGAAAGCTTGCCTCTTTGGATAAACCAAATTATTGTTGACTTCTAATATCTGTAGATTCTTATGGGGAAAAGTATTTCGTTCGTGCTTTAGACATAATTATTAGACCCAACATTTAATGCACCCATGCAGTGTTGATATTACAATACAATGCAGCCGTTGTCTCCAGAAAGCTTTGCTAGCCACTAGAAACAACATGGCTATGTGATTATGCCATATGGGCAATGTTGCTTTGCGACATAAGCGCATTTTTATTCTTGTACGTTTAAACAACATTAAATATGCTGCATAATTTCTTTATGCGTGAAGAACTATATTCCTGATGTCATAGGCGATTGACCACGTGTGCATATTGCCTACACGTACTCAGGCAATGGATGCTTTTGAACACAGTTCGATCCATCTTTAAAGTTGCAACATTATGATATGTTCTTCAGTGTTTGAAAATAATGTGTAGGTAATTTGTTATGCTTGGTTCGCTGGTTTGTAACAGCCAAAAGGTTTACTGATTTATTTTACGGATAAACAAATATACTCTGCACGAGGATATGGCTAGAGTACATTCTCTGATTGATGAGACTCGTTCGAAATTCATCTTAGTGTCGACGGAAGTAGACACGGACCCCATTTAATTTGACACCGTTATTGCACAGAATCTCTTTAACTAAAATTACCCCGATGTCTGTATACAATGACAAAAACTATCTAATTTATCATTGTTAGTATTGTACGTTAACACTTGTATATAGAAGTGAGGTTATTGCGCTGAAAGCAGTTGGTCTTGTTGATGTTATAGCATAATTAAATTACACTTTCTCTTGAAATTGAAACGAATTGGAATGAAGCCCGAAGCATGTGGAGTAGATGATATGGTTTAGTTTTGCACGTATGAACGTGAGGCCTTTCTTCACTTGTGAATTGACACTGAACGCTTCAGAGACCGCTGTTGATAAATCGGTGGAGCGTGGTGTCTGAACCAAGAGGAGGTCGCGGGTTCCATGTAGCAGTCACTCCTTTCTTCCTTCCGATGTCGACTTGTGACTTCCTCTTTGCCGTAAGCAAACAGATTGGTATGTGTTTTACTTGCCACATATCTGTTGTCCCTTCTTTTGAAACAATGAAGAACTCCTGGCTGGTGCCACAGAAACGAAGATCGGCAGTCAATAATTAACTTTATGAGAAGAAGGCCCCGGATATGGCCCCATCATAAAAGTGCAAAACAGTTCCTACATTCCAACGATTACAAACTTTCCTTTTCCTTTTTGAGCATTGTTATATTGAAGAATGATCGTGGATGTAAAGATTCGCATATGAACATTGTTCACTGATGATTCTATTACTTTCTTTTGGCTGTGAATGACGATGCCAATAAAGACGTTGCGGCGAAGAAGTTCTGATAGAGACAAAGCATTGTCCTTTTGTTAATTGTCCTTCATCTCTACTTTTCCGATAAAACAGAATTATGTTACACGTAGCTTATTACTGTAATACTACGACACTAAACTTCTCAGTAACCACATTTACGTATTGTTTTGTTATAGAAGTATTGGTGGAAGTTCAGCGTGCTCGATTCGCTTTTGGGTCCTCAATGGGATCTTTATCTTGCAACTGCGCTGTGCACTCTGCTCACCGTAATCGTATACCTACGAAGAATTCGCTAAGCAACCGATAATTCGACCCATACGGTTTGGCCATGGAGGAGATTGCCACCGAGGGGCCGCCGTATGAAAGTTATTGTTCGGTTTATGAACGTCTACTGCTTTGCAGCAGGAAGCGCGGTTGTTTTACACTTTTGGTTTTTATTATATTTGTTTGCCATTTGTTGCTCTTTATTCTGTGATATTTGGTTGTTTGTATTTTACTTTTGGACCTGAACTGATCACATTAAAATATATCGTTTTTTATATCGTCTTGTTTGGCTTATGCAAATTGTTTGTGATTTGGCTGGTCCAGTCAGTATTTATGTATTTATTTATGTATTTATTTATTTTAGCGATGAAGATATTGGATTCTTAAGTGATATGTAAAACTCATAGTAAAACTTCGTTGCTGTGTGTGAAACAAGCTAATCTCTCTCTGCACTAAGGAGTTTGT